AGTGTTTAACTGGAGAAAAGCATACGCTGGGCTCCCTTTTCTTTAGTCAGTGAAACAAATGAAAGAAGAAGAAAATCAAAGGGAATTACAGAACTAGAGACTGGGTCAAGCAAGAGGATGAGATTTATGATAGTAAGAATTATGGGCTGGGCATGGTAGCTCACGCCTGTAATCCTAGCACTTTGGGAAGCAAACGTGGGTGGATTGCCTGAGCTCAGGAGTTTGAGACCAGCCTGGGCAACACAGTGAAACTCTGTCTCTACTAAAAAAAAATACAAAAAATTATCTGAGTGTGGTGGCGCATGCCTGTAGTCCCAGCTACTTGGGAGGCTAAGGCAGGAGAATTGCTAGAACCTGGGAGGAGGCAGTTGCAGTGAGTTGAGATGGCATCATTGCGTTCCAGCCTGGGCACCAAGAGTAAAACACTGCCTCAAAAAAAAAATTGTTGAACATCAAAAATGTATGGTTAGGAATGTAACAATTATTCCTGAAGGTCTTTGAAAATCAGAAACTTTTTGTCCTCGTAGAGTAGCTAGGATGTCATTGTGGCTTCCAAGGTTTTCTTGGATACCTGTAGCCTAAGGTTTCTGTGCGCTCTGGGAGAGGAGAGTCCATGCCCTGTTTGAAAGCTCCTTAGGCCTTCTTCTCTCCTCCTGGACCCAGGCAACAATCAGGATGACATAGGTTCAGGTTGCACTGGCTTTTCATCTCTCTTTGGTAACTGACTCTGAAGCAGGGACAGGCCACTATTTCTTCTCTTTCTATCCCCCAAAGAGGAACTGAGTGAGTTTATTTTTCTCCTTCTCTGAACTAACTCTGACTTAACAGACTCAGACGAAGACACAAAGAAAAGAAGAAAGATAGAAGCAAAAGCAGAGACAGTGCTGAGGAGGTGGCTGGAGACTCGAGCCTCGGTCTGTTCTCTGCTGCCACACCCTCTTAAGTGGCGCTCAACCTCAACTGAGCACTATCTCAGCTGTGGAAATATAGAGTTAAGACAAATTCTGCAGAGCCCAAACCTGTTTCAATCAGTTTGCTACCCTAAAACTCTAGAAACTCTGGACCTGTCATTCCTTTCACATCATCAAAGAAGTACTCATTCCCCGATTACAGAATCGAAAGCACCCTGAGCTGGAAGAAACTTTAGAGTTAGCGCATTCAGTCTAGCAACTTTATTTTACAAATGGGCAACCAAAGTCAGGTGTGGTGGCTCACATATGTAATCCCAACACTTTGGGAGGCCAAGGCAGGTGAGTCACTTGAGGACAGGAGCTCGAGACCAGCCTGGCCAAGAGAGTGAAACCCTGTCTCTACTAAAAATGCAAAAATTAGCCAGGGGTGGTGTGCTCCTGTGGTTCTAGCTATTTGGGAGGATGAGGCAGAGAATGGCTTGAATTTGGGAGCCAAGATCGAGCTATTACACTCCAACCTGGATGCCAAAGTGAGACTCTATCTCAAAAAAAAAAGGCAATGGAGGGCCAGAGCAGATCAATGACTAGACCAAAACTTCTGTGCCCCAGGACAACAGAGCAAAGTTTACTATCAAGAATACTGACTCTATTGGACAAGACATGTGCCCATTTTTTTCCTACCATGTCTCCAGGATTTAGCATGATGCCAGGCACATAGTAGGTACTCAGTAAATATTTGTTGAATGAACAAATAATCCATGATTCCTGACATCTGTTCCACTGCTCTTCCTGCTCCAGTACATGTTTTAGCTCTCCAAAAACAACAATAATTGGAGGACCAAGTTAGCTCACTCCACTCAACCTCAAGCCCTGAAGTGACCTAATATTTTATCTTGGAATGTTCCACTGTGTTTCCAAAAATTCCTAATATGCAGTGGTGTGGTTTGACTTAACTCTGTTTTCACAAAATGGGCTTGATTTTGTGAAAAGAATATTGATCTCCTGACTCAACTTTTGCCAATGAAGAAGCATCATCTTGTATTCCTAATTTTGAGGTTTTTCATTCCCAGTGTTTCCCTCTAATCTATCTTAAAAATTTCCCCCATCACAGTAAGGGAACTCTTTTACCTTGGTTGATAGTATAAGTAGGTTATGAATACTGTGGGCCATGTGTGGGTAAATCACACTGTGTAAAAATTCTCACATCAGGGAATATGATTTCAAAACATAAATTGCAAATGAGGCCAATTCCTTGTAGTACTAAAGGATTCATCATAAGATACCTTTAAATATTGGCCTAGGATATACATGTGGTTCACTTTACATGCAACCTTTTTAGGAACATAACTATTGTGCAATTGGGATAACATTTCCAAGACAGCCATGAAGTATGCACAAAAGCCAACTGGTAAGGCATGCTTTAGGAGTGACTGAGGGGTCCAGAGCCTGATTTCCAGAGCCTTCTCAAACATATAGGCTCTTTCAAGCCCTGGAGGCCACAGAAAACCTAAAAATTACTCCTGCTTATAATTTCTTTACTTCATGTTCCATAGCCAGTTAAATCCAGAGATGGGAATGAATTGGGGATTGACGGTGTAAAAATAGGGGGGAAAAAAACATTTTATTTCAAACTGGAATGTCAAATGCCCTCATCCTAGACAGACTTGCAGACACATAACAAACAATAACATTTTAATACTAAGATATTCATATTCTTTATATTTTAATTGAATAACATAACACACATAAAAACAATAAGATTTATAAATTAAAAGTATATGAGAAAACATATAGGGATATAACACCAAAAAGAAGGGCTAATAGAACAAGGTATATCATAATATATGCTGTTATGGGAGACATTGAGGTGACCCCTAGCTTTCTGGCAGTCAATGAGAAAAAGGAAAATCTGACCGGTTACCTAATATACTGCCTTCCTCGGTCTTTTTGTTTATTTATTTATTTTTCTGTAGGCAACTATATTTATTTAGAATCTTTAAAAATATACATACAAACATTCAGCAGTTTTATTCTTCCTGGCTTACTTCCCTTTCCTGCTAATTCCAATTAGTGGTATCATTACTATACTTAAATGGCCCAAATGATGAGGCCAAATATAAGAGCACTACTTCTTTCACAAATTTCCATCTTCATAGCCTCTCAGCTTGTCAATTGTTTATTTTTTTAATGCTCAAGAAAATGTACCAGAAAGAAATGTGTCTCCTAAGTCCTCATAAAGATGGTACCGGGAAAGTAATAAGTAATGACCCTAAGGACATCCTCACTATAGACCAGTGATATTCTGGATATATGTCCCTGCCAAATCTCATGTTGAATTATAATCTCCAGTGTTGGAGGTGGGGCTTGGTAGAAGGTGATTGGCTCATGAGAGCCGATTTCTCATGGATGATTAACACCATTCCCTTGGTGCTGTCTTTGTGATTGTTAGTGAATTTTCATGAGATCTGGTTGCTTGAAGGTATGTAGCACCTCCCCCATTTCTCCTTCTTGCTCTTCCCTTCACCATGTGACGTGCTTTCGCCCTCTTCACCTTCCACCATGATTGCAGGTTTCCTGAGGCCTCCCTAGAAGCCGAGCAGGTACCCGCACCACACTTCCTGTAAAACCTGCAGAACTGTGAACCAATTGAATCTATTTTCTTTATGAATTACCCAGTCCCAGGTATTTCTTTACAGCAATGCAAGAATGGCCTGATACAATCAGTGTTTCTCAAACTTTAGCATGCGTTGGAATCAACTAGAATCTTACTAAAACACAGATTGCCAATGCCACCCCAAAAGTTTCTGGTGCAATAAGTTTGGGGTGGAGCCTTAGTATTTCTATTTTTAACACGCTCCCAGGACCAATGTGGTCCCTGCTCTGCTCCAGGGACCACACTTCAACAACGATAGCTGTAGACCCAAGGTCCACTTTCTCAGGTCCTCATCTTAGAGCATCCTTTCATATTGACCGATAACAATGTAGCAATTGCAATGGAGCAGTTCCATGGAATTAGGTTCAGCCCACAGTGGGAGGCACCCTGTGTAGAGGTATGGCCCACCATTTCTCATTTGGTATATTCACTATAGCGTTCCTAAATGCAGTCCAGCCCCATTGGCTTATTCATTGTGTTTCCCAACACACTTACAGATTTCTTCCTCATGCATCCAATTCCTCTGTGGCCCAGTCCAGAAGGGACTCTACCTATTAAAGCCCAACTATCCTTCATCAGCAATGACAAAAACAACCTTTTCTCATTAATAACTGCCTTCTAAATATCAACAGAATTCTGCACCTATATTACTTGTTACTTAAATGTTCTCCTTATATTATTCACCTATTATTTACCTCTTTAAATGTAGGATATTTTGTATTTCCAACCGCAGTTCAAAGTCCATAAGCCATGTATAATATATTCTTGTTTCTTTAAAACACACAATATAGTGCTTTGAATAAAATGAACACTCAATTATTTGAGAGCTAAACAAACACTTAAGAAAAAAGCTGTAAAAAATTAATGAAATGGCAACTCATATCAACAGAAGAGATATGCTTATCACCATCATAAAATATCTGCTTTCCCATAAAGATTAGCTGTTTTAAAATAACTGCTTTGCCATAAAGTTGGGCTGTTTTAGGTTAACTGCATGTTATTGAGGGAAAAGGTGTATACAAAAAAAAAAAAAACGTGGTTTTATTAGCTATCTAACCAAATGTATTATATAGTTATTCTCTTTGGATTCAATTTTTTCCCCGTATTTTAAAGCTGAATTCATTCACTGATTCAATGAATATTTACTGAGAATTTACTATATGTAAAGTTATTGGAAAGAAAAGAGTACATTCTTAAGGAGCTCACACCACAGTTGAGAGGACAGACGCATAAACCTACATAAATGCAACGCATGCAAGACTAAAGATACGTGCAAGCCATGCTGGGAAAACAGAAAAGAGTGGTCAGGTTAGAGGTGGCAGGAGAGGGGCTTAGAAACTTACCTATTCAAGGTGGCAGAACACATATTAAGGGTGGCATTGTTGGAAAAACAGGTCTCATACTGTTAGGAATTGGTATGCCTTGTACCATTACAGGTGAAAACAAGCAAACGAATCCATTAATCATCAGCCTACTGTGAGCAAGGGAAGCATGAAGAATCGGAGGACTGAGCGGACGTACACAGTGATATGTTTTGAGAAGAGCCAGAGAGGATTTCTGGCTGGAGATCCCACCACCAATTGCTGTGGTCCTGACATTTCACCATTAACAAGTCATTCCTAGACATCTTAAAGGCTTTCTGGTATTCAAAGGACCTCAGGTAAAATGCTTTTTCTCCTTAGACAGAGTCTCTTAACCTTGCCAGCATGATTGATGTTTTGCGTTGGATAACTTTTGGTTGTGGGAACTGTCTCATACGTTCCAGGATTTAGCAGCATCCCTGGCCTCTACCAACTAGATGCCAGTAGCAGCCCACCCCCAAGTCATGATAACCAAAAATGTCTTCTGGGAGGCAAAATTGACCCCTGCTGCCAACATTTTCCTAGGAGATACTACATCTTAGACTGGCGTCAGCTGTGGTTCTGTTGTGTGATCAAAGAATAGCTCAACTCTCCCTAGAGAGACAGTCCCTCCCTTCCACCCTGTGCAGCTAAAGGAAGAGTGACATAGCACTGAAAATTCAGGATGACGATTGCCTAGCCAATCTTATTTGCTATACCAGGTCGGGCTCTCAATGAAGTGACATGTGTCATGGAAAGGTGACTATCACCTCCAACTGAAATTTAGGAATCAAACTATCTGAGCACAGGGGAGATTTGGGAGGGGGCGTGGAGGTGAATAAGAGTATTTCAAATAAAAACTACCCAATTTTACACAAACATGGGGAAGAGGAGCTAAATTAAATCTTTTTACTTTAGGTATGTCATGCAGTAGAAAGGTACTTGATTCATGATTTACTGATTGACTAAACATCTGCAAAGCACATAATACTTTGATATGTTATTATAAAAATAACAATGTCCTTTGCTCATATATAATACTTAGTAGCTCTTAAAATTCTTTCACATAGTGCCTTTTTAAAAAATTGGCAATATATTCCCATATTTCAAAAATCAAAACAATCCCGAAAAGGAAATAGTGAAGGGTCTCTTTCTCACTCTCACTACAATCTTCCCCTCCTAATTACAGATGAATATTTTAGTTTCTTCAGCATCCTTTCAGAATTTACTTATGAAAATATAAGAATATATAAATACAGATTCACGTTTTCCTATTTCTTACACAAAAGGTATTATGTTGCCCTTGCATTGTTTCCAGTCATTTACTATCACAAGAAAGGCTGCAATAATTAGCACTGGCCATGTATCATGTCATATGTGCACTCACTATCTTATGTATGTAGGTATGTGTATATGTATGTATGTATGTATTTATTTTTAGAGACAAGGTCTCACTTTGTCACCCAGGCTGGAGTGTAGTAGCACAATCATGGCTCACAGTAGCAGGGTCACGGCTCATTGCTGCAGCCTCAAATTCCTGGGCTCAAACGACCATCTTCCCTTAGCCTCATGAATAACTGAGATTACTGGCTTGTGCCACCATGCCCAGACTCACTACCTTATCTAATCCTCACATCACATCAATCCTATGAGATACGCAGGAAAAAGGATCGTTCCTGCTTTTAAATTATTTTATTTGTGTGTGTCAACAAAAACATATATATACCATATTAACCATTTCTAAGTGTACAGTTCAGTAGTGTTAAGTATACTTTCACTGGAGAGATACCAGGGAAAATGGCAGATAGGAGGCAGCACTAACTTGTAGCTCTCACTCAGATGGACAGAACAGTGCATGGAGGCTCACTTCGTGAACTTTTGCTCCAAGAACTACTGCAGGAACATACCAGGAAAACCAAAAGAGTTCACAGACTCTTTGAAAGAAGCAGCTTGCTGCTGCAAACTCTGAGAGATAGCCAAGAAATTGTGAGTGCCCAGTGTGTGTGGGGTGATATTCATCTTCAAACAACATCCTCACTGGGGAACCTGAAAATCCAGATCATGGGAGAAGGGTTTAACCTTGCCTAGAATTGAATATACCTAACAAAGGGGATAAAAGACCTCTGTGATGAAAACTACAAAATGCTGCTGAAAGAAATCGCAGATAACACAAACAAGTGGAAACACATTTCATGTTCATGACTGGATAGAATCCATATCATAAAAATAACCATACTGCCAGAAGCAATCTAAAAATTCAGTGCAATTTTCATTAAAATACCATCATCATTCTTCACAGAAGTAGAAAAAACAATTCTAAAACTTACATGGAGCCAAAAAATAGCCCACATACCTAAAGCAAGACTAAGCAAAAAGAAAAAATCTGGCGGCATTACATTACCTGACTTCAAATTATACTACAAGGCTATAGTCACCAAAACAGCATAGTACTTGTATAAAAAATAGGTATATAGACCAATGGAACAGAATAAAGAACCCAGAACAAAGCCAAATACTTACAGCCAACTGATCTTTGACAAAGCAAACAAAAACATAAAGTGGGAATAGGATATCCTATTCAACAAATGATGCTGGAATAATGGGCAAGCCACATATAGAAGAATGAAACTGGATTTTCATCTCTCACCTTATACAAAAACCAACTCAAAATGAAACAAAGAATTAAATCTAAGACCTGAAACCATAAACATTCTAGAAGATGACATTGGAAAACTTCTTCTAAATGGACTTAGGCAAAGAGTTAATGACCAAGAACCCAAAAGCAAATGCAACAGAAACAAAGATAAATAGATGGGACTTAATTAAACCAAAAAGCTTCTGCATAGCAAAAGAAATAATCAGCAGAGTAAACAGACAACCCACAGAGAGGAAGAAGATTTTCACAAACCATGCATCTAACAAAGGATGAGTATCCAGAATCTACAAGGAACTCAAACAGATAAGCAAGAAAAAAAAACAAATAATCCCATCAAAAAGTGGGATAAGGACATGAATAGAAAATTCTGCAAAGAAGATTTACAAATGTCCAACAAACATATTTTTTAAAAGTTCAACATCACTATCATGGAAATGCAAATCAAAACCACAGTGTAATACCACCTTACTCCTGCAAGAGTGGCCATAATTTAAAAATCAAAAAATTATAGATGTTGGCATGGATGTAGTGAAAAGGGAACACTTTTACACTGCTGGTAGGAATGTAAACTAGTACAACCACTATGAAAAACAGTACAGAGACTACTTAAAGAACTAAAAGTACATCTACCATTTGATCCAGCAATCCCACTAGTGGGTATCTACTGAGAGGAAAAGGAGTATCTACTGTATAAAAAGGACACTTGCACATATATGTTTATAGCAGCACAATTCACAACTGTAAAAATATGGAACCGGCCCAAATGCCCACAAATCAGGAAGTGGACATATATATGCCATGGAATACTACTCAGCCATTAAAAAAAAGATATAATGGCATTTGCAGCAACCTGGGTGGAGTTGGAGACCATTATTCTAAGTGAAAGTAACTCAGGAATGGAAAACCAAACATTGTATGTTCTCACTTATGAGTGGGAATGAAACTGTGAGGATACAAAGGCATAAGAATAAAAATGGACTTGGGGACTCAGGGAGAAGAGTGGGAGAGGAGTGAGAGATAAAATCTACACATTGGGTGCAGTGTAGAATGCTTGGGTGGTGGGTGCACCCAAATCTCAGAAATAACAAGTGGAGAACTTATCAGTATAACAGGTTTGGGGGAACAGGTGCTAGTGAAATATTTTAATATTTCCATCATTGTGAAACAGATTTTTGAAACTTTTTCCTCTTGCAGAACTGAAACTTTATACCAGTTAAACAGTGAATTCCCATTTCTCCCTCTAGCAACCTCTGGGTAACCTTCTATTTTCTATTTGTATGAATTTCACTACTTTACCTCACGTAAGTGGGATCCTAGAGAAATTTTCTTTTAGTGTCTGTCTTACTTCATCTAGCACAATGTCCTCAAGATTCATCTACGTTATAGCATGTGACAGGATTTCCTTCTCTCTAAGGCTGCATAGTATTCCACTGTACCTATGCACCATATTTTGTTTATTCTTTCATTTGTTCATGAACATTTGGCTTTCTTCTGTGTCTTCCTGGCTATTGTGAATAATGCTGCCTTCTGTGTCTTCCTGGCTATTGTGAATAATGCTGCCATGAACATAGATGTGTAAAGATATCTTTGTTGCTCTGCTTTCAATTCTTTTGGTTATAGTATACCCAGCAGTGGAATGCCAGATCATATAATAATAAATCTATCTTTAATTTTTGAAGGACCTGCCATACTATTTTTCATAGCAGTTGCACCATTTTACTTTCGCATCAACATTGCACAAAGGGTCAAACTTGATTCTGAAATACCATGAAGTTGGCAATATTATATATGCAGATGTTAAGACGTATGCCGCAGCCTTACAGATAATACAAGGTAGAATTGAAACATGCCCCGGGTCTTAACACAATTTAGTGCCTTGGATTTTTCTACTTACTGCAGCAAAATTCTCAGTGGTGTAAATGATACAAATGATATTTTCTGTCATGACGACGTGTGATTATCTCTGTCAGAGTCTCTGTGAGAAGTTCAGTGAATGGATTTGTCTATATTTTGAGAGTTTAAATCCTTCCGCTTCTTTCTCAATTCTGCTACTGTTCACTTCCAGCACCACCACCGTCTTACATTCTAAAAATATAGAAGATTGGTACACTAGCTTATCGGTTGTTTCCCATGCCAAGTTACAGTCCCCCTCCACTATTCATAAATTAACAGCAGTCTTAAACTGGAAACAGAATCATGCCCCATTGGCTTAGCACTAGAGAAAGAGTCCTGAGTGGCTAACATAGTAACTTGCCTACAAGTGTTTGCTAACCCTACAAGCTGTTATCTCTGGGCCAGGTGCATGGAGCCAGAGGAAGAACTAACTCTTGGCTGTATTGCTGGATTTTTCCACCAAAGAATTATTGCAGGAAGACAGATCACAAAGTCAAGGCTTATATTACCAAGCAGGGAATACCATCTGAGGCAAAAACAAATACCAGCAGGAAAAAAGGAAAGCCTGATCCACTCTCCCTCACACATCTATCTCAAAGATGTTAGCAGTTGGAACCTGTTTCAGTAATGATACTCAAACTGATGACAATGTTCTCAAAAACCATCCATGCAATCCTGTTATTTTACATTTCCTTGGTCAGGCAGCCAACGAAGAAAAGGAAGGTCATTGCCATGGGGAAGGATGTGACTGAATGTTGTCCTGCAGAGCTG